CTCCCGAGTACTGGGATTACAGGTGTGCGCCACCACGCCCAGTTATTTTTGTTTCTTTTTCTGCGACAAGGTCTTGTTACATAGTTCAGGCTGGCCTTGAACTTGCTAGGTAGTCCAGGCTAGCTTTGAATTCACAGCTATCCTTCTGCCTCAGCTTTCTGACTGCTGGGATTACAGGCATGTGCCACCATACCCGGCATGCATCTCTTCTTTTATCCCCCACTAGTGTGTCTGATTTTAGGTCTCTATAAATATACTCCTCTTACCCTTCTGTCCTTAAGCTTTCTGTAGTCCAACTTAGAAAATAACTTCATTGATAGTTGGATTTAATTTTAAAATGAGTTAAAATTTCAACATTGTGTCTCTGGGCATGGTGACACATGCCTGTAATCCCAGCACTTGGGAGGCTGAGGCAGGAGGATCACTGTGAGTTCGAGACCAGCCTGGGCTACAAAGAGAGTTCCAGTTGAGTCTCAACTACATATTGAGACCCTGTTTCAAACAATAAAAATTTTTAAACATTGTGATAGGTGACATTGTTGAGATGGTAGGAAATAGTTTATGGAAATTAACCTTGGTGTTACTATGTTCTATATGATCTCAAATCAAATGATGTTGAAATTTTAAAAGGTGGAAGAATTTATAAGAGATTCGTATTCAGAGATGTCTCTAGGACTGTGTTTTACTAGAGGCTACCCTGTCTTGTTCTGAAAATTGGTTTGCTTTCAATTAGGAGAAAAAGGACCAAGGAAAACAAACCTGAATGTCTAGGATGTTTATTTGAAAAGCGATGGCCTCAGATTATACTGTGAACTATTAATACACTACCCTTTATACACTTGTGATGTGATGTTTACTTTCCAGGCAGAAAGCCCTAAATTCTCTGTGATTGGGAGCTGTGTTGGGAGCTGGAAAAATAAATTAGCAATTTAATCACTGTCTTTAAAGTTCAGCTGTTTTTATACATTGTCACAGGGATTTTAAAAGGATGTAACTTATTTGGGGAAAAATAAAAATTTTATAAAATGTGAAAGTGTACATGCCGGTTAGCAGCAGCTCTAGGAATTGATCGTTTCATATGTGCATGTACATAAAGATGCTCAGTGCAGGATGGTTTACAGTATCTAATGACTGGAGGTGACTTCTGTGTTTACTAATAGGGGCTGGTTAACTGTGTTATGATATGGGCAGAGAAGGAAATTCTATGAATTTTTAGGAGGAATATGGTAGATCTACTTAGGCCTTAATGTACAACAATCTCCTTGATGTGTTAAATGAAAAAACACTATTTAGTATACAACCGTATGTTCCTGTTGTGTGAAAAGACATGAAAGTTAAAAAAAAAAAAAAAAAGACATGAAAGTATGCCCAAACATTCTTAAGCTTGTACAGGCATAGACTCTGGGAAGAAACACAAGATTTTAGTAAGTGTGATTTCTTCTGAGAGTGGGATGAGAGGCCAGCTTTATGCTTCTGAAAAATTTTAAAGCTGTGCATTCATGTATCTTAATCACTTCCCTGCCATTATACAGACATATTTGGTATATTGTTGCTATAAGAGCTTGTCCACATCCATGAGGACTTTTCCAGGGAGCACTGAGCTATGTCTCTAGCCCTTTTTAAACATTTTTAATTGACTTTTTTGTTTTGTTTTTATTTTTATATTTGGAGGCAGGGTCTTACTATGTAGTTCAGGCTGGCCTTGAACTCACTGTATAGCCCAGACTGTACCAAGCTTAAGAATGTCTCACACTGAACTACATCCCAGAATGTACCCTGCCCTGTAGCATTTTCTCATCAAGTTGCTAAGTTGTTCCTACTTGGCCATCTTCTATCAGTCACCCAGGGTGCTGGGATACAAGCATGCTTCACCATGCCTGGCCGGATGTTCTGTTTACAGATAGAATAGAACATTATATCTCTATATTTCTTATAAGAATATAAATTTATTTGTTACTAGAATGAGAGAATAGGAGTGAAAAAGGAATATAATGATAATAATGGAAGTACTTGTCTTTAAAGTTTACAGTTAGTAGTCCTGAGTCAGTAATTTGTTGTGAAGAGCTAGATTAATTGTAGCAAAGTTATTTTTTTCTTCTGAGTTAAAGTAGTGAACGTAGAAGAAAGTTTGTAGGTCTTTTGCGTAGCAAATACATTAGTTATAGCAATTATAGTGCCAGAATTTAAGTAATCAATACAGTTTAGGTTGAATGCTGAAGGTGGCTAAAAGTATATTTGCTGTTATTTGTAGACTCTCTTTGGTGTTCTTAAAAATTGAGATGTTTTTATGTTTCTTTTTTGTTTTTAGTGGCAGTCGCTCTTCTAAAACTTTTAAACCAAAGAAAAACATCCCAGAGGGTTCTCACCAGTATGAGCTCTTGAAACATGCAGAAGCTACCCTTGGCAGTGGCAACCTCAGGATGGCTGTCATGCTTCCTGAGGGAGAAGATCTGAATGAGTGGGTTGCGGTTAACAGTAAGTAGGCTTCCTGTTTCTCTAAATTAGGTTACTGGTCTCATTTCAGGGCAATGCTAAGGAGATCTTTATTGCAGAATTTAGTAAGCAACCCAGTATTGCAATACAGTCATACATAATCCATCTTGAGTCTTTATGGTATTTTATTTTTGAAAATGAAGTGTTTTTTGGGTGTCTCTATGTATTCCTGGCTGGCCTTGAACTTGCTATGTAGCCCAGGCTGGCCTTGAACATGTGGTGATCCTCCTGTCTCAGCCTCTCAAATGCTGGGATTACAGACATTCACTACCATGTCTGGCTAAAAATGAAGTTTTAAGAAATTGTTGCTTGCTGTTACAGTGTATTACAAAGATTTATTATTTTCACCAGGGTAATACGTGGCAGGCATATCTGGCACTCTTGTGTCTTTTTTACGTGGATGATTTCATTTCATCTTTTTAACCTTATGATGTAGGTACTGTTATACTATTCTAATAGATAAAGGAAGCTCTGACAGAAAGATTAGTACCTTGCTTGTTAAACAGCTGTTGAATCCCAGGCCTCATATATAGCTAGAGATTTCAGAGTCTGTAACCATTATGTTAAATTGCCTCTTTCAGTATCATATTTATTTATCTAAATTCAACTTATTTTTTTAAAGAATTCGGTAGTGATTTTATGCAATTTGTAAAATATGAGATAATCTATAGCTCCTGGCGGGGGCGTGGGGGGAAACATGTAAGTAAAATACATTCTTGGGAATTAAGCCAAAGTAAGTTGGGGAATAAAAGGTTCAAGGTTTTAAAGTATTGGTGAAAAAATTGATAAAGAGTTTTATAACTGAAGGAAATTTATATGAATTGAATTAGAATGAGATTTAACTGAAAATATCACTAAATGTGTAGGCTTTAATTAAGGAAAAGCATAACCGTGTTTTTCTAAATCTTTATAGTATCTTGTGATTTGAAATGTCAGTAATTTATAAATTGAGCTACTACTCACTAGTAACATTTAGGAACCAGATCTTATTGATAGTTAATAAAATTCTGCTAGGACAACGTTTGCACAAGTGTTGTATTATTATAATGTAATTATCCTCCTAGACCAAAAGAGTTTAGTTATTTGAAATAAAGTGATTTGTTTGCTTTACTGATGAGTAAGATGGTTTGGTGGCACTTCAAAGATAATAATAAATTTCTAATATATGTGTATACATGTAAAACAATTTTTTACTTGTGTCTTTGTACTACTTGAGAGCTCATTTACTAATTTTGAAAATGTGTGGAGAAACTAGAGACATTTATAGCTAAATGGATGCACATTGAGGCCATATTCTTAAGTGAAATAAATATAACATGCATGTAAATATTGAAGTTTCTTTGGTGTGAGAAACTGAAAGCGTAAATAAGGATCAAAATGTATAATAGATAATGTGAAAGAGGAAGAAAAGGTCTAAAGGGTGAGGGGTAAGGGAAAGGAAAGAAGGAAAAGGAAAAAATAATGAGAAAAGGAAAAAATGGAAACAAATGTCTTTGTAAATAGGGGAGGGGTGGAAGGGTTGAGGGAGGGCAGGGGATTGGGGAAAAAATAAGAATCAAGATATATTAGAAAGGTACAAATTCCCAATGATAAATGTGATTGCCTTGTATACCTAAAATGTACCAATAAATTTAATGAATAATAAGAAAAAAATGTGAGAATGGAGCTTCTATACAAGAGATTCTCATTTTTAAGCTTAAAAGCAAGTAATCATTTTTCTGTTTGTATTGTCTCTGTCTCAGTTGCTAGATCTGAATGTATTCAATTGAAATGCCTGGAACTTTGAGATCTTTAAGAATTTTACAGGTATTTCACGGTTCTAGCTGGACAAAAATTACTTGGGACTGAATCTGTAGAACATCTACTTAGAATGTGTAATTCTGTTTTGAAAAATACTGCTTGAATAAAATGTTGGTCTCTCAAATTTTCCTTATTGATTATAATCCTTTTAAATTACATCTCATCATCTGACTAGTGTTTGAGACTACACAGTTATTTACACTCACTGACTTATTTAGGTAAACACTTTGAGTGCATAATTGAGTAAAGGGAGTTGTTGATAAGATTGACAATTTAATGGCCTTTTGGCTTCAGTACACTTTTTGCATGTACATAATAAACATTGGTGAATGTACAAATTCAATAGCTTGTTTAAGCCATCAACCAAGGTCTGATTTTTGACATTTTACTAGATGAAAGATCAGAAAGTTTCAACTTTTAAACAGGACAAACAGCAGGGTTAGGGGTTCTGCAAAAAGCAGACTGCTTAGCTTATAAATAAGAATTCTGAGACTATCTTAGTTTGAGAAGGAAACTAATGCCTGTTTAAATTCAGTTTTGAAGGTAGGTAAGTGAAGTTCAGGGAGATTAAGTAACTCAACTGATAAGCATAGGAGTTGGAATTCAGACCTTTGTGTATATTTCAAGAAGCCTAGTTTGTTCTCACTCATGTGGAGTATAATACAAGAATTATTGTTGTAGAGTCTTTACTCAGTAAATCTTGGCTCACTGAGGTATAGGAGATAACTGTGGGATTAAAACAGAAGAAAACTGTGGGGATTAAATTAAATATAATGCTCATTCCTGTCCTACTTTGATAAATTTGTTGGCTTTTATAATCACTTATTTGTGTTGCTGCTCTGGAAATTCTGGGTTTACGAAGGATGGTAGTGCTCAGGACAGCTAATGTGAGGAGTGCATAAAGCTGAGCCTTAAACACACAAATATGCATTTCCTTCTGCTTGAGATTTTGAGAAGATATATATTTTATAGGAATATAGATGAAAGTTTGTTTTATTTATATTTAAGACAGGATCTTAGTGTGTTGCCCAGGCTGGTCTCCACCTCCTGGGGATGAAATGGTCCTCTCACCTCTCTCTCCCAAGTAGCTGGGACTGCAGGTGTTTGCTAGTCCTGCCTAGCTGACAGTAGGTTAATACAGTCTGGCTGGAGAAGATGCCAGTGGTTATTGGGACAGACTTTGTGTTTTTCTTGAGTTAATTTGCAGCCAGTCATAACTGAGTGCTTCATATCATAGGCCGGGCACACTGAAGGGAAGCTGTTTGCTTCCCTTTTTCAAGTGATAGCACTTCCCTAGCACCCTGTAAACCTAATGGAAAAGGGGACTGAGTCATTTTTATCTTTATTGTATTTCTAGAGGATAGAAGTTTGTGGCATATTTAAGGGAAGATGTATTGTCTGGGAACAGTTAGAAATATAAATTTGCATTTGGGGTTTGTTAAATCAAAGATGCTGTTTCATTTTAAAGATCCAGAGGGTAACTCTTTTGGACTTTGTTGGCCATATGGACTGTGGCAGCTATACAGCTGTGCAGCTGTAGGTCAAAAATCATCATAGACATTGCAAATTGAGTGTGGTTGTATTCCAGTAAAACTCTGTAACAGGTGGTATGCCACATTTGATTCTAATATCTGCTCTAAGGTAGAAATAAAATAATAGTAAATGAATGTATAATTACATAGCCAGTAGAAGCAAAATATAGAGTTCAAAAAATCCTAGAAAACATAGAAGAAAAAAAGAATGAGTAGGCTAGTTAGCAAATATTAAGATAATAAATTGAAATCCAAATATTAGTAATTTTATCAATGTAAGGGACAAAGTGTTCCAATAAAAAAAACTGATTAAGATTAAGGAGTGTAGCTCAGTGATAGATTTCTTGCTTAGCTTTGTGAGGCCCCGGGTTTAATTTCCAGCATGGAAAAAGATAACTAGTGTTAAGATGGTTACAAATCCAAATACTGCTTTTAAGAGGCTTACACTTTATATAGCTACAGAATGACTGAAACTACAGGCTAAGCAGCAATTTAAAGAATGCTGATAGGCAAGAAACATTAATAGAGGGAGCTTTAAAAGTGATTTATCATGTAAAGGTAGAAGATCCCAATGATGACTGTAACTCTATTGTTTACTGTAAATGTACCAATAAACTGAATGGGAAAAAAAGGTGGTAAGTGATTCATTTCTCAAATGCTACATAAAAATTTTAATATTTATATTTCTAATATAAAAATGTATCAGAATTAGTTGATTGAACTAAAAGAAGTAAAATACAAATCTGTAGTTATAGTGGGAAATGTTAACACTTTCAGTAACTGGTAAGAAGTGTAGGAGGAAAAGAATCAATAAGGATTTTGAAAAATTTAAGCAGCACAATTAATACTTGACCTGAGGGATAAGCAACTCAGATCACACACATGCATGTTTTCAAAATTTAAAGTGAATACATTGTCTGACCATAATAGCTAGAAACTGATACCAAAAACTAGCAAATCTATGTGTTTGGAAAGAGTACATCTCAGTGGAAATAAGAAAATATTTTGTATTAAAATATAAAAGTACTATGTGTAGAACCTTGTGGATATAGTTAACGTTATGTAGGGGGACATTTATACCTTCATATACACAAATTAGGAAAAAATACAAAATTAATGAGCTTAAAAAAAATGAGCTAAGCATCAATTTCCAAAGTTTAGAAAACAGCAGCAAATAAATACAGAGTTAAAAGTTATCAGTAAACAGAAGAACACTCATTAGTAAAATAGAAAACAAAGGTACAGAAAGAGAACAAAACAAAAATGTTAATGTTTTGAAAAGCCTAATGAAATTTAAAATCCATTAGTAAGACTAATCAAGAAGAAAGGAACAAATAAGCACTATCAAAAAAAAAAAAAGAAAAGCTCCATAAAATGTATTAACACTTACAGCCATACATGAATGTGTATATGTAGTATGTTGAAAACCTAAAAGACCATAATTGTTGTTATTATACTACAAGTATTATTACTAACTTGTGAATTAGTAAGAAAGTTTGCTCTGAGGTAAATTAAAAAATTCTGAATATGAAAAGTATTGAAAATCTTGGAATAAATGTAATGAGACTATGAAAGCTATGAACATGAAAACTATTCCTTTTATGTTTAGTAGGTTTTATACACTTCTTAAGATTATACTTATGGGGCCGGGATTTAGCTTATTGGTTCAGCCGCTGGCCTTGCAAACACAAAGTCCCAAGTTTTGTCCCTGGTACCAACAAATTAAAACCCCCAAAAAACAAAAACAATTATACTTGTGCCATAACATAGACATATTTTTCTATGCTCATTTACTCTTTATTGTCTTGTCTTTCACATTGAGAAGTACAGTTCACTTGGAATTAGTCCTGGGATATGTTGTGAGTGAATGAAAAACATGCCATAGCAAAAATCAGTTGACTCAAATATTTATGAAAAGACTGCCTTTGCTTGCTATTCTGCTTCATCATAAATCAAGTGTTTCATCTATACTTATACCCTGCTTCTGATCTATTTTGTTCCTTGCTCTGCTAAAATCATACTGTTTTGTGAATTTTCGTATGTGCTTTGTTTAAGAATGTGTTAGGTAATCTTGGCTCTTTGTATTTTCCAATACATTTTAGCCCTTTGGAGGACTATGGGATGACATCCTACTGTCATTTAAATTTGCAGCTCCTTGATTATCAACATCTTTTCATAGAATTTGTCTTTTTACTAAGTGAAATCACTTGATGAACACGAGTTCCTAATGTCAGTGTAGTAAATAATGAAGCTTTTGTTGTGTGTACTTTATCTGTTCTTTGTAGAGAGAATACTGATAAGCCTAAGATTCTGTCTAAATAAAATTAAAATTTAATCCTAACCATTCTGTTTTACATATAATGGATACTTTCATTGCAGCAGTGGATTTCTTCAATCAGATCAACATGCTTTATGGGACCATCACAGACTTCTGTACAGAAGAGAGTTGTCCAGTCATGTCAGCTGGACCAAAGTAAGGCATGGTTAATGATCAATTCTCATCTTTATTTTGTTTTATGTTTTGTTTTCCCTTTTTTTTGGTACCAGGGATTGAATTCAGAACCTTGCACCTGCGAGGCAGGCAGCAGAACCACTGAGCTAAATTCCTGGCCTTCATCTTTATTTTAGATAAGAAGGAAGTTTTTGACTGTGATTTTTTTTTTTTTCTACTCAGCAACTCCTTTATTGGTTTGACACTGACTTGATAGCAAGTCCAGATTTTTTAGTTTGAGTTTTATGATCCTCCCTGTATTGTTTTCCATCCTGCCTTTCTTGTGCGTACTCTTATATATTCTTTGATCTATCCAAATTAGATTATGAAAAATACCTGGTGTTTCTCCATTACTTTCTGAAAACTTGTTTGGCTTGTTTTTTTCTTGGACATATTTCTTGTCTTCCATTTCTCTATCTTGTTAACATATAAAATCAAGTCTTATCCATCTTCAAGGCCCATATCAAGTGGTTCTCCTTGAAGCTTTCTGATTTCTTCAGAACTAGATGTGATCTATTTATCTTTTTTACTTTTGCAATGATTGCATTTCTTTACTGCATTATACTTCTTATGCTATTTGTCCCTTTTCTCCCCCGTGGCTATAGAGATTGAACCCATGGCCTTCTGCATGTCAAGCAAGTACTGTATCATATCCCATACATCCTATCCCATACATGCCTTATTTATACTGTTAGATTAATTTTTCTATTAGTCTCCTTTGGTGCCAGGACATTACCTAGCACTTAGTTAACAATCAGTAAATATTGGTTGGACTTAATACATTTTTGAAACTGGCTTTTATTGTTCCTGTTACTAGTAATAACAGTGGCAACTGCTGTTTTTTTAATGATATCTAAAATAAGGCTTTTCATAGTTATATATTTTACTTCATACTACAACATTCACCACAAAAATACTGCCTTCTGAACTGTCATGAACGTAAAGAATTTATGTCAAATGAACAATCAAGAAATTCATAGCAGAGGTAATATATAAAAACTCAGGAAAAATACAGAGGTATACCATATGAGGGGCTCAAACATAAGCTAGCTTCTCAGTAAAGAAAAAGGCACAAAGCTGTTTCTGAACCTTCACCTCTTTTAAGCCCCAAGGGATAGACAGCTGCAGTTCTTCAAAATCCAGTGCCTCTCAACCCCCTGGTTCCTGCTAGACATCTTCCTGTGTATTTGGGTGTTTATTCTAGAGACTGTCCTCTGTGGTCATTGCAGGTGCCTCTTTTTGTCTTTCCTAACCCCATTTGGTTTTACATGAATTTGGTAGTTCTCTTCAGTTAAATATGGTGGTTCAGAGACACAGGTGTTTCCTCATTTCATCAAAGAGAATACGAATTTCTTGTTATTTAGTACTTGTTATTTTGGAAAATTTTCTTAAAGGAAAGGGAGCATTTAAAAATGAAATGCCTTTTAGGGCCAGAGATACAGCTCAGTGGTGTGCCGCACCTGCCTTGCAAGTACAAGGTCCTGAGTTTGATCCCCAGTACAAAAAAAAAAAAAAAAAAAAAAAAAAAAAAA